GGAGAGGGTCCGGCCCACGCTGCGCCTGGGCTGGGACTCTGCCAGCTTTTTTTTAAGGACTTTTTAAAAAAATGTATTTACTGGGGGAGATGGCTCAGTGGAATAAGTACTTCCCTGGCAAGCGCAAGGGCCTGAGTTCAATCCCCGGTTCCGGGGGAAAAAAAAAAAAAAAGTATTTAGTACCCAGCACAGACTGGTAGTGATCCTCCTGTTTTTAGCTTCCCGAGTGCTGGGGTTACAGGTGTGCATCACCACATCTGACATTTTTTCTTTTGCAGCACCGGGGATGGAACTCATATCCTTGCGTTTGCCAGTTAAGCGCTTATCCTACTGAGCCATCTCCCCGGCCCCTTTCTTTTTTTAAAATTATTTTAGCTATTGTGATTCCTTTGTTTTTCCAACATGTTGTGTAATCTTTACACCTGCCAACAATCTCTGTTTCTTAAATTGTTTTTGGTGTTTAGGATCAAATCCTGGGCCCCAGGCATACTAGGCTGTTGCTCTTCAACTGGCCATACCTCCAGTGCTCCCAAGAAATCTGAGGTGCTGGTAGGAATTGCACCCCATCAAATAGGAATTGCCTAGGGGTGTCAGGTCTTTCAGTATATGACTATAGTTTGCTTATTTAGGTCTTGGACTTTTTGCATTAGTCGTTCCTGCTTTTAGCCCTTTCCAAGATTTCGTGTGTCCTGAGCTGTTTTCTTGGGTTGATGTATGTGCCCCTCCTGGCGCATCCAGAGACAGCCCAGCCAGCGGGGTGTAACAGCACCATGTGTGACGGGTGTTCTTTCCTTTCCTTCTCCTGAACAGGGATGTTGTGACTTCGGTTTTGTGCCAAGTGACGTGTGATGTCCCAGCAAATGGCAGTGTTCAGTGTGGTGCTGAGAGGATACGCTGAGGTGCTGACAGTACTCTGGCACAGACCGGGTTTGCTTGCAGCTGGGTAGACAGAGCAGGAGCAATGCCCCCAGGCCGGTGGTACGCAGTCCCTGCAGTGCAGGCTCCGGCTCCCAGAGAGCGAGGGCGCCTGCTGACTGTGAAGAAAGAGGAAGAGGATAAAGGCTACTCCTCGGCGCAGACTGCCAGGCCGCAGACACTCAACCGCTCTGGCCAAGAGCTCTTTCGCCAGCTCTTCCACCAGCTTCGCTACCTAACGAGTCTTCTAGTGCCCTGGAGACGCTGAGCCGGCTCCGGGAGCTCTGCCGCTGGTGGCTGAGGCCAGACGTTCTCTCCAAGGCCCACATCCTAGAGCTGCTCGTGCTGGAGCAGTTCCTGAGCATCCTGTCCGGGGAGCTCCGGACCTGGGTGCAGCTCCACCAGCCTGAGAGTGGCGAGGAGGCCGTGGTGGTGCTGGAGGAACTTCAGTGGGATCTGGAGAGCTTGCCACGGAGGGTGAGTATGAGCAGCTGTGGTCCCCAGTGGGTGTTGCTGCTGGGGATGGGGCAGCCGACTGGTCTGCAGCTTAGGGTGCGGTGAGGCCTCTGCTTCCCATTGTGGGGGCGTCGGAGCCGCAGTGAACAGGGCCCTGAGCCCATCTGCTCTGCCTCTTCCCATAGGAGTCTCGGCCTGAGTGTAGGTCAGCAGGCATCTGAGAGTTACGTGGCTGCCATGTGCATAGCCCCTCTCCTAGTGTCTGTCTGGGCAGAAGGGCACTTAGGCAGGACTTGAGGCTTGAGGGTGGAGTATACAAAAGCAGGCTGTCCGCTGTGCCGAGGTGGGGTGGTCGTGAGTGGAATGGGCAAGACACTGGAAGACCTCAGGGTCAGACTTCATGCTGTAGCGTTGGTATCTTTCTCTGTCCTTAGCATGTTTGCCTGGTTCCCCCTCCAGCTTGTCTGCCTTTTTCAGCGTGTGGGAGGAGCAGGAGGTGGTGACTGTGGTCAGTCCTCTTTTTTTGTCCCCAGGGCTCTGTCAGATGTCAGTGACCTTGGGCTAAGATTTCAGTGTGGATGGATGGATGGATGGAGTGAATAGATAGCTCTTGGCCACGGGTTGCATCCACCTAGAAACCAGAGTGCTCTGAAGTCCCAGGACAGAGACTTCAGCCATTTCGTGGCCTGCTCTTTTCCTCTATCCTTGGCCCTGGGTAGACGTGGTCTGTTTTTGCGCCTGCGCCTCTTTTAGGTTTCCTTGGCTGCCCTGAGGAGCAGCACTGCCTTGGATGTGTTTCTCCCCTTCAGGTTTGCAGCAGGAAGCTCACCTCCTATGAGGCCCCTGTGCTCTCATTGTCTAGGGCAGTACTTGGTGGTAGCTACTAAAGTCCGGGACCTCTGTGTCTCGTTCTGAGGAACCAATTTCTTCTCACTCGTTTCTGGGTTCCAGGCCCCAGGGAGGGGATGAGAGGTGGTGGGGAGGGCCACCATGGCATCCAGGGACTGACTTTTTGGTGCTACAATGATGTGCCAGTTTGTGAAGTGGGGTTTGTTGGCCCCCTTGGAACTCCCACCCCCATTAGGTGGGAGGGGCCTCTGCCCCATGGGACTGGCAGTGTGGCCTCCTGCCTGAGTCTGTTTCTGGCCCCATAGGGATCCTCCCATTTTCTTTCCCAGGACCCAGGCCTTGACCCAAGCCCGGATGTGCACTGGATGGGCACTGCAGCCCTGCAGCCCTGCAGCCTTCGCAGACCTGGCCCCCCGTGTCACCACTCAGGAGTGACTTTGCTCCTGAACGCCCACTGGAGCCTCCCTGTGCTGTAGGAGTGGGTGACTTCCTGGCTGGGCCACCTGGTACTTGTTGGCCTTCCTCTGTCTCATGAGTGTTGTCTTGTGTGTCCTTTCCCACATGAGAAGCTGCCCCTTAGCTCAGTGTCCTTCCACACCCTTATGTGACTTGCATCTCACTGGCTACCCCTCTGTGCTCCCTGTTCCTTGGTCCCTAGGAGACAGGAGGACGTGTTATGGGGAATTCCTTGCAGACTGGGCCAGGGTAGGCTTCTTGGCCAGATAGGTCTTTCATGGTTGGCTCTTTTCCTTCAGATCCTCCTGCTGCCCTGGCACCTTCCCTTTCCCAGAGCGAGGGGACCCTAGGAAGCTGGCCCACAGCCACAAAGTCCCAGATGCCAGAGCCACAGGTAAGCACTGGGTCCTGCGGCCTGCTGTCTTGGCTCCCCAACCTGGCGTCTTAGGCTACACCTCCCCCTTGAGCCCAGGAGCTCGTCTCCTCTCTGAGGTCCTTCATCCATGTAGAGCCAGCTTGCTCTCTGCCCCACGCAGGCTGGGAGATGGGGACCAACCCCAGTGTTTCTGTAGGAAGCCACGACTTTCAAGGATGTGGAGGTGACCTTCTCCCAGGACGAGTGGGGATGCCTGGACGCAGCGCAACGGAACCTCTACAGGGATGTGATGCTCGAGAACTATGGGAACTCTGCGTCTCTGGGTGAGCTGCCGATGCCCATGCTTCCAGCTCTCAGGCTGGCCTTGGCATGAACTGCGCAGAACCTGGCTCTGTGGTTACTAATGTCGTGTCATCTGTCACCACACTGTTCTCTAAAACATGGGGATAATCATGCCTGCCCTGGTGGGTTATTGTAAAGATGTCTCAAGTTCCTGGTTATTGAAAAAGTATCAGTATCCCAAAAGTGTGGGCCGACTGACCAACCGAGTACGCATGGGTCCTGCTTTGGGAATCCCAGCAACCCTGGTGCCTGACTTTCCTGAGCTCCTCCTTTCTGTGTCTGTTCAGCGGTGGCAGAAGTGGCTGTCGGGGCTCGTACCCTGCCTTTGTGGCTGCCCCTGTCAGGCCCTCAGGCAAACGCCCTTAGTCAGATGATCTGTGTGACCCATCTGCCTCCCACTCCTCTTCTCTTTGCAGCGGGCTCCTTCTCCAAACCTGCCCTGATCTCTTGGTTGGAAACAAGGGGACCCTGGGGGCTGAATGTGCAGATGGCTCAGCCTGAGAGGCTTCTGGGCTCCACCCAGACAGGTGAGTTCAAGAAGTGCCAGGCCTGGTCCCCTTCACCCTTCTTTCTGCAGCTCCAGCAGTTGCCAGGACTGTTCCATTGTTGCTCACCAGAGGAAGACTTCAACAGTGCTAAGGGCGCTGGTGCGGGCTTCTCCCTGTGGCTAGGATAGCTATTTGTCTGGCCCTGCTCCTTCCTGGGTGACCTACTGAAGGCTCTACTGTCCCCTCCTCCGCTTGTGGTATCTCCTGTGGCATATTTCCTGTCGCTTTTCTGTGACTTCCTTCTGCCATAGGCTTGATCTCCAGTCCTGTTACCCCAGTGTTCCTCGGAGCCCCACCTCTTGGCATGGGCACTGTCCCCCTGCGTGCTCCCGTGCCTGCATCTGGCTCCCCTTCTTTTTGGCTGCCATTTCTCTCTGCCCTTCTCATTTTCCGGCTGGACGCGTTCAGCCCGCCTCTAGCTGCTGTGTGTATCTTGGTTCCTCCTCCTTCCCTGTTGTCTGGAATCCCTTTTCCTGTTTTGTCTTGGCCTTGACTGTTTCAAAGAGGCATTGGAAGTCCCCCAGGAGGCTCACTGCCTATGTTTGCTTTTCCAGCTCCAGGTATGGGAAGAGAGTATTCTCTTTTATGTTTTAATTTTTGTCAGGAGATGAGCTCCAGACTAAGATGGACGAATTTGTCCCAGAAGAAGAACCTGTGGAGGATGCAGAAGGAGTTGCTGTGGTGTCCAGATGCCCTGTGACCAGCGTTCCAGAGGGAGACGGGCTCAGGGGATCTTTCAAGCAGCAGAACTGGCTAATGAAGCACTATGTGAGATTTAAGAAGGAAGAGTCAGATTTCAGTCCCAGGGTAGAGGAAGAATCTGAAGCACTAGGAGGAAGTGACACTCTTGACCTGAAACATGTTACATATTTGAGTTTCCAGGAAAAAGCGTTCCCTGAAACATGGCTATGGCAGACACTTGCAGAAAAGTTCACACCATTATGATTATAAGAAATGCGGAAAGGGGCTCAGACATGAGGCAGGGAACTTCGGCGTCCACCAGAGAGCTCATGGCGGGCTGACAGAGAGTGAAAAGGACCCCTGTGGGCAGGGCTTCAGCCTCGGAGCTGCTCACCAGCAGGAGCAGGGCCTGTGCACAAGGGGAGCGTTGTATAGGTGCCGGGACTGCGGGAGGACCTTCAAGCAGAGCTCCCACCTTGAGTACCACCAGAGAATTCACAGCCAGGAGAAGCCATTTAAGTGCAGACTGTGTGAGAAAGCTTTCAGGTGGAGCTCCAACTGCATTCGTCATGAGAAGATTCACACTGGAGTGAAGCCTTACAAGTGTGGTGTGTGTGACAAGGCTTTCCAGCGCCTGTCAGCCTATTGTCTACACCAGGAAACCCACACGAAGCAGAAAGTGGAGGTGAACCAGTATGAAGAAGTCCTCACCTACAGCTCAGAGCTGGATTCTCATTTGAGAGACCAGAGTGAGGAGAAGCCCTTTGACTGCAGCCAGTGTAGGAAATCCTTCCACTGTAAGTCCTATGTCCTTGAACATCAGAGAATCCACACACAGGAGAAACCTTATAAGTGTG